GACTTCCTCTCCGCGATTGAGTATGACACTCTGTACACACAGAAAAATATCATTCCACCGCTAAGAAAAGCAATTACTCAGTTTACTTTCCTTCTCTCGAGCAGTGACTATTTTCAACAAAGAACACTTTCTTGATAATAGTCTTAAGATATGTTCATCGCAAATTTGAGGAAAGCTCATTATCATGTACTCAAACGAAGGATTTATTCTCTTTTACATTCTTTAACTCTGTCCAATGAAAAGTCGATTCAATTCTATATAGTGACGAATTTTTCTTTTGATTTTAATGTTCTTGGTTGAAATACTAAACTCACTGAGGTACAGAGTGTACTTTGAGAGCGAATTTAATCCTTGTGAAGAGCGGATATATGAACTTATAAGATATACTCATCGCGAAAAAAGCTCATTATCATGTACATTTACACGCGAATATCACAAAGCTTTACTAGGGGATTCAAAATGTATGCTGAATAAATTTGACCCTCACGGTGAAGACCCGCGACAGAGATTTAGGGCTATATAAACTCATAAGATATCTGAAACGAGTAACATTTACTTGAGTGCAGTATGCATTCCTCTGTGTGTAGCATGAGGAGCGTAGAGGGATCCATTTACTTGCACTGAGAGAAAAAAATAGTTGGAATAACTATAATCTCACTATATTTTATAGTTCGTTTTGGCCTCAAACATATATTTATAGTTCATCTAAACATGAAGATATAGTAGAATGAACACAGATTTATAGTCACCATCTTATTACTCTATATATATGGTAAAGCACCTTTTGGGAATATAGTTACATGTACCTATATTTGCCAAATATTCCAATTGTATTGACTATATAAAATAGTTAATTTCTCTTACCATTCAATATTTGCCACCTTACCATATTTTTTATTTCAAATAATTATAATTCGTGGTAAAAATTTTACACGGGTCAGTAATACTATACTTATATTGTAAATATTACAAATATTATGGCAACATTTACTGTAAAAATTATATTCCTAACTATAATCTTTTTACTATGCCATTATAGTTCCAAATATCATACATTTTTCTCTCAGTGCACTATTCAAGTGCGACACGCCGGTCTTCTTGAAACTTTGCATATATCGTACATCGAAAAACATTAGACATGTATTGTTTTATTTTGGCTAACAAGACATTTTAAGGTTAGAAAGCGCATTCGAAAGCACAATGATAACTAACGCTACTCCCGAGCGTCATTCTTTTACAGCTTTTACGACATTACTCTATTGTAATTTCATTGTCTGAATGTTTCTGAAGTCGCTAATTATGATTTTGACATTAGTTTGTAATCGTAATTATGGGTCTAAAAAACTTCTTCGAAACTGACTTTGAATAAAGTCTGAAATGTCTGTGATTTCGGTCCGCCATTTTGAATCTCGCAAAACTAGTGTCAAAATCATAATTAGCGACTTCAGAAGCATTCAGACAATGAAATTATAATAGAGTAATGTCGTAAAAGTTGTAAAAGAATGACGCTCAGGAGTAGCATTAGTAATGGTGCTATAAAATATTAAATTTTCGAACCTTAAATACCTTTAATTTGCGTTTTCTAACCTTAAAATGCCTTGTTAGCCAAAATAAAAAAATACGTGTCTAATGTTTTTCGATGTACTACATGTGTGCAAAGTTTCAAGAAAATCGGCACTTGGGTAGTGTTAGAAGCATTTACTATATTGAATCTACTAGTTAGAAGCATCTACTATATTGTACACTGAGAGAAATTATCAAAATACCAATGAATTTTTATATTTGATCAGGATATTAAACTTAATCGAATACTTTCGGTCATGATGGCATTTCGTCAGAGAAATCGATCAAAAAATTATGAACCGATATTTCTGATCGGATACAAAACTTCATTGATCATTTTGATCAGATGTATCCATTTGTTAATTTCTTACCGAATAATTTTACACGGGTCAGTTATACTATACTTATATTGTAAATATTACAAATATTATGGTAACATTTACTATAAAAATTATATTCCTAACTATAATATTTTTACTATGCCATTATAGTTCCAAATATCATAGATTTTTCTCTCAGTGTGCGTTGCGTCAAAAGCCAGTATCCCGTAAGTCTCACTCGGGACTCACTGGAAGCGAATACGCGGGCCGAAGGGTGCGATAAAAGGGAGCGATATCCGCGACAATTTGTCCGCGCATTTACACGCGCTATAGGAAAGGCTGTGCTCTCCGCCTAGCTCGGAGGAGAAAGCGATGATAGCAAACACAAATTGGTGGTGGCTGGACTAATATACCCGAATATGATGAATGGTCTTTTATATCCACGGACGTAGCGAGGTGTTATGCGTTACGTTAGTGTTGAATTATTGCGTGCGTGGGGCAGCGCGCGTCGGCACAATAACGCAGCCCGCGGGAGGGCTCGGCGGGCCCGGAGGCCCCGGACCTGACCGGATTCCCCGGACCCACGTTCGCGTCCGAGCTTTTACCCGCGCGAGACATCGAGATACGCGCGCTCCGCTCGGCCGGTGCTTCCTCCTCCTCCTCCTCCTCCTCCTCCTCCTCTCTCCCTTTCTGCATCTTTCTCCCTCGTTCTTTTTACCCCCTTTGGCCCTCGCGCCGCGATTTTAATCGAGCCGCGTTACCGAGCGAATCGGAAGATCAATCGGCGTTGATCTCCGCGAGGATTTATGGTCCTCGACTCGTTTATTACCATTCACCAGGTATAATATAACCCGTGAAACAAACGACGTCGTTCGCGTACACGTCGCGTCGTCGTGATATCTCATCACTCGCGTTATAACCGTTCCTCGATTTACCTTCACGCCCAAGCCACTCTGTCGTCTACCGCCTGATCTGTCCGTACAATTCGAGGATTCAGAAATTCCGGAAAATCCGCGAATTCGTCAAGACTGATAACGGCATGCCGAGGCGACGTGTTACGTAAGACCTAGATCGATATCACTTCACATAGCGCGTGTTATCACGTCGCGCGTTGAAGATCGCGGGGCACACATCTTATCTATAAAGTCTGAATTACTGTCCGCGCAAAAGACTAGAGCGCACGTGAGAAGACGACGCGAGGAGATGATTGGAACGAGAGAAGACGGTCAGAGACGTTGATCCAATCTACTCTAATTATTGCTAGGGAGGTAAGCGTAATAATAGCCGTCTCAGACTCAAAGTTGCGCCACGAGTTCGGCGGCGGCAAGCGACAAGGAGAGAGCGAGAGAGAGAGAGAGAGAGAGGGGGGGAGGGAGGGAAAAAGAACGAAAGGAACAGAAGCACACTGACGCATCACTGGCGGGGCTTGATTGATGGACGAGTCGCCATGTTTATAATTAGAGCCCGACGTTTCCGGTTCGCCGTTCGACTCTCGCGCGGCAATTCGCCACGGATCAATCTCTCTCCTCTCATCCACGAGAAACTGCGAGAGAAAAGCTTCGCATAGACGCGGGCGGAATAGCGCGAACGCAGAGCGGGAGCTCGAATTGTGTGACGTCACACGATGAATTCCCCTCGTGCGTTATTTGGGGCAGGGGGGAGGAGGAGGGTGAAAACGTACGATGGTGTACCCGTCGGACTCGCGGAAACGCGCGATTTCACGGACGTTGTTCCGCTCAGCTCGATTCTAATTTCAGTACTTTCGGCTCTCCGAGCAGATGCGACGTGTTATCGAACCTTTTAACCACGTGGACGTTTACGACGTGGTCGGTCGGACGGCTCGTCCAACGAAAATCCACGTGTGCAGGAAACGAGATGCGGGTTATGCCGCGCGGCAGTCGCACGTGTGTATCTTCTTCAACGGTCGACGAGTTCAAACGGCGATTCTAAAGCGATTTGCGCGCCAAGTACCTGGCGCGACTGAAACCCAACTGGAAATTTATCCCACGACCCTGCCGTGCGAAATTCTATCGGGCGGGGTCCCTATCCCTGGATCCCTATTTCTGGAATTCCTGGCAAAACTACGTGATCTTTTGGCGGGTCTTGGTAAGTTACGTGAGGCAGCGAATAAATCAGGACATTATTAATGCTAAGAATTGTTAACAATCCGTAGCGATGCAAGAATGATCTAACCCATATAGGGGTACGTTTCGGAAGAAATGAAAATGAGAATTTGATAAACTTATTTAAAAAGTGCAGATAGCACTAAGATCTTTCGCAATCGTTCGAGAAGTCAGATATGGTCAATTTTCTTCTCTTTATAGATATTCATTGACAAGCTTAACCTTTAAAAAATACGTAAAAAAGACATAACTATAGTAGAAAATAAAGACTGTTTTTTAATCAATTTTAAACGCCTCCATAAAGCTAGGATCTTTATATGTAAAAAGATATATAACCCGTTGGTAAAACGAAAACTAAAAAATTACAATTTTGGAGATTGGAGCTATTCTTGCATAATTCTGTGTGGCCAATTGAGACTTTACTGATAGTTAGGAACCGATAATATCACCTTATACAAGTCAGATAATTGATTGACATCAGCTTGATGAAAACCATGGGGCAAATTTCTAGTCGGATATTTCTGCGGAGAGAAGTCGGCCGGCCGATATCGTCAGGCAAATTTCTGACATCTCTCCTTCCTGAAGACGTGAGATAAAAGTAACGTGCGACACAATCAGCAAAAATGCGCGACGTGAATGCACGAGAGGCTGAGCGCAAATGATGAATGTGAGAACGCGGGTAGATCGCGCATCTGCCGAGTCTCGAGATATTCGCGGTACATTGTCGCCTCCGTAAAGCTGGCAAGTATCGCGAGAATCTCGTAGGCGGAATGGCTCGTCGAGAGGATCCTTATTAGTGAACGAGTCGTCCTTGAACATGCCACGGGAATGATCAATATTTGTAATATAAACTCCATTATGATACTTCATCACCGCTCGCGGGGTAACTCACTCGCTCGCTCGGCGGACGCGAGTGTGTGCGTTAAACGCATTATTTTCGTGCTCAATCGATTCACCGGTGTGATGTAACTGTATTCCATTTGATGCGACTTACCTCGAGCCTGCATGAAGGAAAAGAGGTCGTCGAGGAATTCCTTGCGCTGAGGTTCGTCAGAGAGCTCGTAAAGCTGCAACACAGAAATCGAAAAGCAAATTGAGTACATTGCGCGTTCTTGCAAGATCTGCAGAACAAATCGTCCATTGTTATCCATCGCGATGTTCGCGACGATGGATTTTCAGCGCGACGCAACGTAATAACAATTGAACGCGCATATCCGACAACGACATGATCATTTTTCTCGTAATCGGCGATCTTAGTTCCACCGTCGATAATTAATTCTAGGCGCAATCGAGGGAGACATTTTAGAAAATATCTAAAAGATAAGAAATATTTATTCGGTGGGCGTATTCACTTATGTCTGAATTCTTTCATTTAAATAGAATCAACAGTTGCCTTCGCGAAAAGCCACGAGCTCTTGGGAAAATGTATATTTCCTTATCTGAGAAATATTTTATGTCAGTGTAAGTGAATATGTTGTTACTGCTCGCCGAATAGATAAACTTCTGTTTTCCAGATATTTCTTTTCTCCCACAGTGCACACATACGCACATATACACACATATACGCGAAACACGCACTCTCGTGCACACGATTGTGTGCCCCGGCATTTTCCTGCGTGCTTTCCTCTGTTCCGATCAGGAGAATAAAACGTTACCTCGCGGCGTGGTAATAAAAACAGGAGTGAAACAAGTGTGCTCATAGCGACAGGCAGATTAGTTAGCTCCGATTATTAATGATTCCGTTTAACCTGCCTCATAACCCGAAACCCTCGCCGGCCATACGAAAGCCAAACCCCCTTCGGGCTAGTGGCCCGTATTATCATATTTGTTATGTACGATGTGCTATATCTAATCTGAGACCCCCTAATTGCTTTTATAATATGAGCCCCGTCCACCCTCGCTTTCTCTTCTCCTACCGCGCCTCCTTCGCCTCTTATTCCCCGGCACTTTCTGCATCCCTTAAACGCTTCGCCGCGTTCTCTCCGCCGACTCTCTTTGCAACTCGCGAGCTCGACTCGTACGCTCGCCGCGACGATAAATTCCATTCAACTAATCGCGATGTTTCGCAACACTGCCTGCCTCTCTTCCCCCAAGGGCGAGTAATAATTAATTCGCTGCCTCGCGCGCGCTCGCGCCGTCCATCTTATCTAGTTTTCCGCTTGCAATTAGCTTGTCCACGCGAGTGGACCATGAGAGTGCAACAATGAAACGAAAGTGACCGCGCGGAACCGAGAGCGTGGCGCGCGTGCATATTGCTCGCTCGAATTTCAGCTCAATCGGGGACTTGAGCGCTCACTTTGCCCGGCGCAGCGCGCTCGAATTCCCTTCTATCGAGTATCGCGGATAATGAGACGTAGGATCGCACGCAGACATCTTATCCGCGTTAATTAACTAACCAACTAACTACCTACGCTCCACCTGGCGATCTGGTAACCGCGGTCGTTAACGGGCTTCGTTAACGACGATGCATCATAACGGAGAAAGAAGTCAGGCGCGCGCGAGAGAGCCCGGCTCTCGCGTTATTCTCCGTGGAACTCGAGGGATATTAATGACTTTTTTTTTATAATAGCGCCCCCAATGAGTATCGCGTTGCCAGAGAACCCCTTCGACGCGCTGCGGAAACGTAGAAGGATTACGTCGAGCCGTAACGCCGTTACGCGTGAAGACGTAAACGTCAACGCCTGTCAGCGGGAAAAAATGTCGAGTGCGCGATACGCACGGTGACAAAACGGAAGACGCGCGTACACATGCGAGTGCGAGGCGAACACTCAGTGAATACGATCTGCGTACAGCTGCGTGTCGCGGAGCGATTCCTTAGCTCTCTCTCTCTCTCTCTTTCTCTCTCTCTCTCTCTCTCTCTCTCTGTAGCGGCGGCAGGTGTAGCGACCGCCACCCCGCGTACGGTAAAGATCGTCATTAATCGGCATTAACCGATGAATGAAAGAAAAGGAGACAGGAAGAATGAAGTCGCTCCTCCCGTTTTTATTCGCAAGCTGAGAGAAAAAGTCGTTGTCGAAGAACTAAGATTACAGTTATGTCTGGCTCCAGTCGTACTTGTTGCCTGTTCTAACACGGAAGTGGCAACAGCAACACGCACATAAGGCTATTACCACTAATATCGTGGTAGAATTGAATTTAAAGAGATACTTTCCTCGATCGATAATTTGTAGTAATGATTTCTCTATGTGATTACAGTTACAAATACCCAGACATTCTCTTTTCTCAGTGCAGACGTGGATTCCCGCAACCAAGTCCTCGCCCTCGCCCTCTCTCGCGTCGCGCGTCCGCCCTCTCGATCTCGTTCACCCTCGATGAGATGAAGCGTATCGCATGAACGAAGCATAACGTATGAAGGAAGGAACGAAGAAACGAACGAACGAACGAACGATCGGATGGACGGACGGACGGATGGACGAACGGACGGACGGACGGACGGACGGACGGACGGACAGCATTTCTCAAGGGCCATTTTGTACCACTTTCTCGTGTTTTTTCTTTGGCTACACGAGCGATGAGCTCGTTAGGGGCAGCCGGAGGGAGAGAGGACGAAGTAAAAGGCAAGGGGAGGGGACGTAGCATAGAAGGCTGAGGGTTCAAGCGAGGTATATTGATTGATCTACAGTTAAGCGGACTGACGGCGGCCACGTGAGAGGATCAGGGAGAAGAGAGCGTACCGGAGAGCTCTCTTCTCGCTCTGCTCCCTTCTCTCTCTGTCTCTTTCTCTCTGTCTGTCTCTCTCTCTCTCTCTCTCTCTCTGTCTCTCTCTCTTTCTCTTTCTTGCTCTTCTTCGCTCGCTCGCAACGTGTGTACCTCACTACCGTGGTAAAATAAAGACGGGGCAACGGAATTTGCTCTCGATGATGCATGCGCCGCGGCCCCGCCCTCTCCTTCTCTCATCCACTGACGGCCCGGTGAATAATAATTCCTGATACGACCAGCGCGCGCGGGTTGATCGGACGACTTTCGTCCGGGCAGCGATGAGGAGAGCCAACTTTGTCGATGATCGATGTACGCGTGCTTAGTAACGCTAACGGACTCGAAGGTGCCCGTGATTACAGCGAGGGGCAGTGAAGTACGTGCACAGGGAGAGCGAGCACACAGATGGGAGGGGTCGGACGCGTTCTTTGAAAATTTTAATCATCGTTTCTTGACCGCGGATTACGCGGCGACCGCGTTGGCCGATCGAGTCCAACGAGAACGAGGTCCTGCCGATTTCGCGTCCGCGCCGCGATGCCTTGAATGAAATTCGCCGTGATCCTCCCGAAGGGTGGATGTCGCGAACGAGTCACGGAATCGATTATTGCAATTGCGCTCATTGCGCGTAAAGATACTCGAGTCGATTGTCGACCTTCTTCGTCGTTCGTTCGCGTTCTATCTTCTCGACCGGCGCGCGCGATGAACTTTACGACCTCGAGACGCGATAGAGGTGGGCGACGTGGAGGAGCGCTGTGTGTGTGTGTGTGTGTGTGTATGTGTTGTATGTATATGAGAGAGAAGCTCTCTCCTGTGCACTCAACGCGCGGCGCACTACTGCTAGTTTTACGAGCTACGGCTATCGATGCACGACTCTTCCCACCCGTGTCAGGGAGATCGAGATAGCTGGCTTTCTTTCTTCCGGCTGATAAGAGGTGCCAATAGCCCCGTTTAAAATGTGGCGAGTGCTCCACCTGGCTCGCGAGCGCAGCCGTGCGTGTACATACCCCAACTAGAAATTTGTCCCATGCACCTGATCAGGTTGATCCCAATCAGTTATCTGGTTTGTGTGTAAAGTGACGTTATCGATTCTTAATTATTAGTAAGATTCTAGTTGTTGGCAATCTATATTATTAATGACTCTGATACTCACGCTACGTTGGACGACTTATTAGAATGAGGACTCGATAATCTTATGTTATACAAAACAGATAACTGATTGGAAAGCTGAACGGGACAATTGGGTAGAGTCTAATCGGTAGTTGCTATAGGAGTTTGTAACCGAGGAATAGATCGACATTCTGCAGTAATTTACTGTTATTTCGATTTATATTCGCTACTTATATCTTAAGAGCTGAAGTGTGCCATTAATAACACTTGTTACGTTTCTAGCGAAACCTGAAATGTTTCCAATAAAATTTACAATGTTCCTCAGCAGGATATATCTTATTAACAATCTATTCCTGGGCTAAGAACATAGTAAAATTGAGAAGAAACTATAACATTCTTTCCGTGTGAATAAGTTTGCGATGAAAAAGAGAAAGGATTGCTCCCAGATTCGAATGTAGCCAATTCGTTACACGTACTTATACAGAGAACGTCTCTCCCTATCTGACAAGAGACAGGAGAATTCTTTTCAGATAAACAATCTCGCGTGCGTATAAATAGGTCTGCCCTTTTTCGAAGAACTTGCTGATTTGATGCATACTGATGCAATAAATTAGAGTGAAACAATATATATCCGTTCACTCTAACTGCGATCACACCAGGTAGTTTTTCGAGAAAGAACAGATCCAATGTTGAGTAAATTTTTATATCACTAATCACGCGAAATTCGCGATGCCATGGACAAAAGATTTCTCTTTATCTCGCAATGTATATACACTGACAGAAATTATTCGGTAAGAAATTAACAAATGGATACATCTGATCAAAATGATCAATGAAGTTTTGTATCCGATCAGAAATATCGGTTCATAATTTTTTGATCGATTTCTCTGACAAAATGCCATCATGACCGAAAGTATTCGATTAAGTTTAATATCCTGATCAAGTATAAAAATTCATTGGTATTTTGATAATTTCTCTCAGTGTACAATATAGTAGATGCTTCTAACTAGTAGATTCAATATAGTAAATGCTTCTAACACTACCCAAGTGCCGATTTTCTTGAAATTTTGCACACATGTAGTACATCGAAAAACATTAGACACGTATTTTTTTATTTTGGCTAACAAGGCATTTTAAGGTTAGAAACCGCAAATTAAAGGTATTTAAGGTTCAAAAATTTAACATTTTATAGCACCATTACTAATGCTACTCCTGAGCGTCATTCTTTTACAACTTTTACGACATTACTCTATTATAATTTCAT